TCAAGCTGCTTGCCGGCGAAAATCAGGCGCTGCTGGTCGGGAGGGATGCCCTCCTTGTCCTGGATCTTGGACTTGACGTTGTCGATGGTGTCTGACGACTCGACTTCAAGGGTGATAGTCTTTCCGGTCAAGGTCTTGACAACTGCAAAAGTGTCAGTGGCGAACATTCATACTGAAGGGAGCGGAAGGTGACATACAGATCTGCATACCACCACGGAGGCGGAGGACAAGATGGAGGGTAGACTCCTTCTGAATGTTGTAGTCGGAGAGAGTACGGCCATCCTCAAGCTGCTTGCCGGCGAAAATCAGGCGCTGCTGGTCGGGAGGGATGCCCTCCTTGTCCTGGATCTTGGACTTGACATTGTCGATGGTGTCGGAGGACTCGACCTCAAGGGTGATGGTCTTGCCCGTGACTGTGAACAGATGTCAATATGTTGTTTATTACCGCGGGGGCCAGCATCGGTGAACCTACGAGTCTTGACAAAGATCTGCATGGTCGCTGACGCAGATCGATGCGCTGTGTTGGGTGTCGGTGAGGGTGTTGGTAGATGGAAGCTTGCAGTAGGCGATAAGTGCGGGAGTGATGGGGGAAGGAGAAATCAGGTAGGGATGGGAGGGTAGAGAGGTTTATGTATGTGGTAAGCAACAGTCGGCAGGGTGAATGAGGGGAGAGCGAGCGCAGGCTGAGGCGCATGGCCATGCACCTTCACTCACACCATCCGAATGCGCATTGCCCTGAGAGCACGATGAATCATGGAGGTAGGGGCCAATCAGACGAGGTCAGGCGGAAGGCTCCAGAACGTGGAGGAGGAGACGCTAGGCCCCGGTCGTGTTCTGGCTACCTGGACTCACTGCAAACACTCCTCCAGAAGCCGCGTACCTGACACATGACGGTCTTATCGACGAGTGGATCATTCACCTTGATACCATGTCAACCTCGGGAGTGGATGATACACTCGTTCAATCAAGAAACAGTCACGGTGGTTGTTACGAGCGAAGAGTTTTCCTGGAGCATTTAATCAGCAAAGAATATCATGAAGGACGTGACTAGAAGATTCTTCGCCGTAGCACGCGCTCGAGGATGGTGCCGCCTGGTGCTGAGGTAACCAGGCTGATGCCCGAGGCAATCGTGGCTCAGCGCTGCGTCGATTGGTCGTCATCGGCCTCAGGTGGCGGGCGGACTTGTTGTCCCGAGCCCAAGCCTGCCTCCACGTTCAAGGTGGCGATCTTTGCCGCTAGCGAGCTTTTCGAAGTGATATCGGGTTGTTTCTACAATTCCATGTTAGACAATTTGGTCTTTTCTTCTTTCTTTTGAAGACGCTCGGTGTTCACTTCGCTTGCTGGCATCGTTCGTGAGCCTGGACCGGCTGCGGGGTCGCCGACGGGTAGCGACGTCATAAGCGCAGGGGATCTCTCAGTTGCGAAGTGAGCCTGAACTCTTGCCCGATCAGGATCGAGCGATCCATACGGACTAATCGAGAGGGCTCAGCATGAGCTGACGTTGACTATGTAATCCCATTTTACTTGCAAGTATTTATGTACAAACCGTAGTCGCTGGGCAGCTGGTAGCACATAGGCGCTATTCCAGCCCGGCAGGTCTGGTGTGGGAGCACCTCTACGGGCGTCGTCGTATCACCACGTTGGCAACACGCCAAATCCACCGTGGACACAAGTGTTACGTGAAAGCATTGCTTGGAATTACTAGTCGTATCGGACGGCGATCTATGTTGGAAAGGCCTTGATAGCCACTCCAAAGACCTCCACCGTACACCGGGACAACCAAAGGCTGCAAGGCTGGCTGTCAACGCCGAAACCGCCCCCATATTGCATTCTCTGTGCGTCTTAACTAAACTGGACCGTCGTTCTCCATAATAACGTATCGTGGTTGAAGATATCATCAAGGCATTTGAAGAGATTGGTTCAACTTTGCATCTCGCCAATATTTCTGTCTTGCGGTGTGAGGATAAGGGGTAAAGGATCAAGGGCCGGTGTAAAAATAAATGTGTTGAACTCATACATTCGTGGAAGAAAGTCGTAAAAGCGTAGGGTCATAAACCGTTGTCTTCGTATCATACGTGAAGCGGTGCCCAGCCAAGGGGGGGAGTGAATGAATAGGCCGATGTGTATAGAAATCATGTACGCTTGAAAACAAAGGAAACATGCTAGCCTCCCCGGGAGACTGGGTATTGTAACAACAACATCTCAAAACACACAGAAACGTTTAGTTGGCGCGGATGACAAGCTTCGACACAAACTTGTTAGACAAGCAGTCAAAGTCGTCACGCTTGAACTCGGCCGTCTTGCGACTGCGGAGATATGTTTCTGGGAAGTTATTAGTCAAGGAACACCCTGCGGTGCAGAATCATGAACATACCATGATTGAGAATGTGCGTACGCATGTCGGTCATGGCGTCACACGCAGCCACGTTGTCGAACAAGATGTGACCATGCTTGCGCGTGTCCCAGTCGGTGAAGGCAGGAACCTTCTGTGAGATCGCGTGGAAAAGCCCCACAATCACACCGACAGGGGTCGTCTCCATGTCGTTGCAGAACTTGCTCACCGCCTGGGGATCAGGCATGCGGTAGTGGCTGTCAAACTGCATCTCCTCCCACACCGCCAGCAGGATAGCGGCCAGCATAAAGATGGTCGGCCAGTTCTTGTGCTTTTCCTGCCCCTTGGTGCTGTAGACGCCAGAGTAGAGGGAGGAGAGCTCCTCAAGGATCTCCTTCTGCAGCTCGCGCCACATGTCGGCAAGCGCCAGCTTAATTTGGAAGTTCACAAGGACAGGTGCGACGGTACGGCCGTAGAACTTGGAGCCCTCGTCGTCAATGGCGCCGTCCATCTCCGTCTCTGCACCCTGATTCTCTACCAGGGTGATGTGGAAGGTCAAGTTGTAAGCAAGGACGAGCTTTAGAGCGTTCTTGATGACGGGCATGGGCTGCTTCTTGTAGAAGCGGTGAGCTGTCTTGAGGATCTCAGTGATGAAGGGGGTGCCCTCAAAGTGGTCATCGATGAAATCCTCAAACGGACCCTCGATGTGGCTGTCGAGATACATCATCAGAGAGGCCTTGTCAACACCCTCTGCGCCGACGTCGAGCTTCTCACTGCGCGTCTCGAACTCAATTGGGTCGTCCTCCTTGTTGTGGGACTCGACCCAGTCCACGTCGAAGCAGCTGTCGTCGGTCACGTAGACCTGGCGGACCTTGATGGGCAGAGCGAAGCCATAGCCATGGGTGATCCACATGAGCGTCTCCTTTTGCGAGAATCCCTTGACATTGTAGACAGAGACGCCAGAATGCAGGTGCCTCTCGTAATCAGCCTTCCAGTCCTTCATGAAATAACCAATGTCCTTGATGTCAATGCGGGTGCAAGGCACCTGCCACAGACGAGCGTGCGAGGGCTGGCATCCAGCACATGGCTCACCCTTGTCGCAGGTCTTCTTGAGGAACTTGCACCGCAGACAAGCACGCAGCTTTCTTATCTCGCTCGCTTGCTTTCGCTGCTCTGGCAAAAGGGGTCCCTTTCTGCGCCCAACCTTCTTCTCGACGGCGCCATCCTTCTTCCCATTGGAAATGCGGCGGACCACGGTTTTGTTGTTGTTGGTCTTGGCAATGGGGCTCCGACGAGGGCCAGAGTTCCCGCGTGGCTGTCCGGCGGACGACGGCGGTGAACTTGAACCGGCGCCGCTACCGGGGCTGTGGCGAGCAGAGACAGGTTCCGTCTTGATCGGTGCCGGGAGGGTAGGCGCGGGTGCAGTAGGGCTCACACTTCCGTGCGTGTGGTGGTGATGATGGTGGTGATGTCCATCCGAGGAGTAGCAGGGTCGGTGGTTTTGACCGTCAGACGCGTTGGAGAAGGAGGGTGAATACGGGAATGAAATCTCCTCGAAGCTCCCGATATCCATCGAGTTGCTCCCGTCGGAGGAGCCCGAGCCCGTTCGCAAGTGCAGAGTCTGTGAAGGGTTGAATATCGCGGAGCCCTGCGCAGCTGAGTACTGATCCATGCCAGGCTGGTTCCAGTCGACCATGGACCACCCCTCGCCCGAGGAGGAAGGCAGAGAAAGGACCTCGAGATATGTGTTGGTGGGCGAATTGCTGCCAACGCTACCTAGCCGCGGCAGTCCGTCCATCTGCAAGGTGCTCTGGAAGTCATGCCAGTTGTCCATGGGTGCCCCTCCCCAGTGCATTGCGTGAGTGGCCTCGTCCACAGCCGGCAGGTTGCCAAAGTTGGGGTCGAGCAGGTTGGCATGGATAGCCTGCGCCGTCGTGGGGGGGAAGTATTCGAGTGATGTGGCTGGCATGTTGTTGAACGTGTTGAATCCCATCAAGGGGTCCGGAACAAACTGTGACATGTCTGGATGATGCACATTCTGTTGCTGCTGCTGTTGATGGTGATGTTGCCTTTGTTGCGCCGCCATGGTGGCCTGTTGTTGATTGAGGGCCCAGTCTGTCAATTGGTTCGCCGCCGAAGGGAACGGTGAGGGTTGAAGAGACGAGTGTTGCGTGTGCGGACTCGAGTGGTGTGAGTTGGGTGAGCTGGACTGGTGTGTTTCGGGCGATCTCGAGGCAGGTGACATGTGCGCCTGGGTGTTGCTGGGCGCGTTCATATCCATGACAGGCCAGGTTCGGTTGTTGCTTGTCATGGCTGAGGCAAGCAATTGGGGATTCGAGGCGGCCGGGTATCCAAAGTTCTGAAATTGGTGATGAGGATGATGTTGGTGCTGGAGCTGCTGGCGGTGGACGAGTTGGTGCTGGTCGTTGACCTGATCCTGGCCTTGCTGTCCTTGTTGATCCTGCTGGTTCTGGGTGTTTGGGTTGTAGGTCAGGTTGAGATACTGAGCTGCGCCGGCGCTAATGTCGAAGTCGGAGGTCATGCTGGGCAGGAGAAAGGAGGATCTCCTTGGGGATAGCGATACTGTAGAGTTTTGTTGCGAGGCGAGTAGCAGACACCGCCTTTTCCTCGAAGCTCCCGATTTGGGGAAGTGTAGGGAGTAAGGACGAGATCCCAGACCAGGAGGCAGCAGAAGACCGGAGACAAGAGGGTGGAGGATGCAGTGGTGAGATGGGGGGGCCTGGGGACCATCCCGAAGAGGGGCCTCACTCACGAACAAGCGGTGAGGGAAGTCGTTGCAGATGGTCCAGCCACTGGAAGCCCAGCCTCAGCCAGTGGCCGCCCCAGCCGGGAGCTGCAGCCAATCGTGCGCGCCAAGCCTGCACAGCGGTGGATCTACGGGGCGGACTATCAACAGTGCCGGACGCTCGCCAGTACGCACTGTCTCACACGTCCAGGCCGACTGGAGCTCCAGGCTCACTTTGTGGACGATGTTCATCAATAGCCCTTCCAAGTTCCAACATTCTACGGATACTTGGGATTTACATGTATCATGCCTCGATCGACATCGCACAGCCATGTAAGTACAATGCCTCACTTGCCATGCTACAACTCTGGCACTCGCTCGGTGTGTGTCTCGGTAGGGTACTATACGTAGTATGGATTCCAGCACAAGTTCTCCTCACCAGCCCTCGCTCGGGTGAAACAAACTCACCAAGCACCAGCTTGGTTAACACCGGCCGCTCGCCCAGGCCCAACAAAGTGGCCCTGGTCTCGAAGTCGCAGCGGCTCCATCGTCGTGCTGCTCACACCGGCGGCATCTCAACGGCGGGCGGGTAAGAGATTGATGGAGCTGCCTGCATCGCTCTAATGTACGAACAGCGCTGCCAGCACTTCCACTCGTCTCCACTCACTCACGCATGCTTTGTCGCCTCGCCTCAACTTCTCAAGAGGCAAACTGCGTTGGTTGCAACGAACTTGGTCACGCCAAATAAGAACGTTTCTACTCAGACTCGAGTATTAGCGCAGCATGCGCCTTCGCGACAACAGCCTCCGACTTTGAAGTGACAGACAATGTGGGCCGAGTGACCAGTGAACAAACACCACCGGTCGAACTCGATGCCATCTCAAGATACCTACGGGCAGCATGCAGTCGTGTTGGCCTTGACAGATAGGCTAAAGGGAAACATCGAGGCCGATGCACGCTTATGTTGCGTTGGACAACGGCGCAGATCCTGATATTGTCCCACCACCATATTCAGCCGCCACTAATCATATGTTTGTCCAACCACCCTCTTTCTAATAATGTCATGTCGTCTTCGCTGGCTTGAATTGAAGCCACAGTGAAGCCGCGATTGGCTCAAAACGCCATCGTGTCAGCGTCGACTGGCCTTCCACAGCACTGGTCCGGCGGCCAGGCTTTCAACCTGTTCTGAGATACATACAAGCATTCCACGCCGGTCCTATCACTTATAAGAAGCCTTCTGCGGTAGTTCCCGGCTGGGCACATCCTCGTTTCGGGGTGTTCTCGGGCCAGGTATGCGCCGATGCGGCAGTGCAATACGGTGCACCGTCTCATAGTCTGTCTTCCCAGCCGCGTTCTTGCAAAGAGGCTTGCGCCGCATGACTAGTGCCCCTTCTATCCTTCAAGTTCTCTCGACTCAATTTTACGACGACAATTCGTGTGAGTAATACTAACAGGTATTATGGTACTATCCGTAGATCTTCTGGACAAGCATGATCGGCGGAAGAGCTGGAGCTGGACCGCGCGCACAGTGCCAGCACCGTCTGTTCATGGCCCACACCTTACGGCTCGGCCCCCATTCGTGACGTGCCGCAGCGGCCACGTCAAACACCACCACCAGACCTCTTCACGATGCAGCCAGAAGCATGCCAGCTTCAATGCCCAATACCCCCTTGGTCCTCGCCATACTGTGTCAATGCCTTCGTGAATGCCCCGATTGGCAGACGATACGACTTTGTCGCGCATGCGCAAGCGTGATTCGCCTCAACGCACGCAATAGGTACGTACGTAGTATGTCGTGTGCTTTGCCAAAGGCGGCCCATCGCTCGAGCTATTGATGAATGCGTACTGCTTGGCTGTCAATGCAGGAGACTGCATGACCATAGCAATGCCATCTTTATCAGTACACAATGTGTAGATTGCCCCGATGCTGTGGAGGATGAGATACCACCATGACACTTGGCTACGCAAGCCTCCACGGCAAGTTGCAGCAGCCTTGTGCCACTCTATTACGAAGATGATTCGAGAGCCGTGTCGAGCCAGTGCTTCGCAGACACTGTCCACGCTCGTCTTTGCCAGAGCTCGATCGAAAAAGTTCTCCGCTGGCGGGGTCAGTGAGGCCCTGCTGGATTGTGAAGCGCTTGATGATGATATTCCGAAGCTCTTACTTGCCCTGAAACAAACCGCAATTCGACCATCTCTCGGCATTTGGGCAGGCTTCTTTTGTACATACGCTGTTTGACTCTAGACTGTCGGACTTCGTCCCGTGATGCCGTTCAATGAAACGGCCCCACTGGATCGGCCAGGCTGACACGGATGCTGGTACGGAAGCTTTACCTGTAGTCATCGCCAGCGATGATTCACAAGCTGGTAATCAACACGACCCACCAAGTCAGCGTCAGCATCTGGCAAGGGTATAAAAGGTCTACGGTGGCTCAAGCTGCCGCTTGGAAAGGCTGAACTACTGAGTCTTTGCAATACTCAACTGCCAAAGTCACTGCTCAAAATGGTCTTCAACCCTACCATAGCCATCGTGCACAATGAAGGCTGCGACTTGCACTACTGGCATCAGGGCCAAGGACCTCTCCTGCTATTCGTTCCCGGCGGTAACGGCCATGGGCGACAATTCAACGCCATCATGGCGGGTCTAATGTCGAAGTTCACCTGCGCTACCTTTGACCGCCGTCAAATGTCCGCGAGTCAGGTCAAGGTCAACAAAAGGCTCAGTCCGCCTCAACAAGCACGAGACATCCGCGCTATAATCAAGGCCCTAGGCTTCCACAAGGCCATCATATTTGGCAGCAGCAGCGGGGGCATCTTTGGGTTCCAGTTTGCGCACGACTTCCCCGAGATGGTCGATCACTTGATCTCCCACGAAGCCGGCATTACATGCTTTTTGCCCGATGCCACGGAGACGTACGAGCAGTTGTTCCATCTGAATCGTGTCTTTGAAACAGAGGGATTGGAGGCAGCTGCTGCGCAATTCGCCACCCTTCTGGTGGGCTACGATGCGGAGGGGATACCCAAGACGGTGCCGCCGGAGCCAGAGAACGTGCGGAACTTCTGGGAGAATGAGATGCCTTCCCTGCTGGGATATACTCCCAATCTCTTGCGCATCAAAGAGAACAAGACGAGTGTCGGCGTCATGAGGGGGGCTCTCTGCAAGGATGCGTTCTATGCGCGGGCCATTGAGGAGCAGGCCAAGGTTCTGGGATGTCCTCGTGCTACAGTGCATGGACATCATGGAGGATTCGAAGCCGAGCCAGAATCGTTCACTCCTCATCTTTTGGAGATGGTTGACGTTTTAGAAAAGAGACGGAAGGCGCTGTAGATGTCTTTCCAAAGATCGAACCTTCAAGGTAAGTGTCATCCATGTGAACCTTACCCGGACATCATTCCTCCTCAGATGGGACTGCTTTCGTTTCTCTTTATGCTGAGAATACATACATGGAGATGCGGTGTGCTACTGTGACGATTCTTTTCTTGGAGAGCGTGAGTTGGCTGGTCTCGACGTTGTTGCCTAGCATGCCCTCTGAAGTGACTTCTGTCTTCTTCTCGACCATGAGAGGGATGAGTCGCGTTAGACTCAGCCTGGATAGAAGCTTTTCCACCTCTCCTCTCGGACGTCCAACGTGGCGTTGCCAAAGTAATATATTCGCTCAGTCATTGGTAATCACGCGGATGCCATGTCGATTCCGCCCAGACTCAACATACCTTCTCCCACCGGCAGGATAGTCGTCCTCAATGGCTTCCCAGGTACGTGCAAATTCACTATTCTTAAGCAAGCCAAAGAGCTCCTCCCCGCCGACACGACCTGCCCTCTGGACAACCACCTGCTCATCGACCGGTCGTGGCAGTCATAACCGACCATAATGATGAATACTACGAGCTGCGACGTCTGGTCCGGGCGCCTATCTTTAAGAAGCTGCGAGAACGCGCACGGGAGGGTCACATCGTCTTGATGACAGCATGCCTGGCTGAAAATAACGAGAGGGATACAACCTTCCTTGAAGAACATCTTGACATGGCGCGCGGGACCGATGTGCCTATTTGCTGGGTGAATGCGCATTGCGATCAGAAGGCCTTGGGACAGCGCCTCAGCAGCCCCGGGCGCTACCATGAAGCAAAGGGGAAGCTGACGGATGTGTGCGTCCTTCGGAACCTGCTGCGGGAGCATTCTCTCATTGAGCCGAGCAAGATTGCGAACGGACCGACGAAGTTGGTGGTGAAAACAATGGACGTCACCGGGCCGATTGAACTATCCGTCGGCCATCTCATGAGCATGATCGGTTTTCCACAAGGTGTTGTTTCAGCATGAGTCTGTACTACTTTGTCCCGCGCTGTTAAGTGCGGCAGAAATAATATCTGAATTGACAACCGAGGAGCTGGCTAGGGACTGACCGTTGTGAAGCGTACCTAGCTTCCTATACACTAGTAGATACAGAGCAACTACTATTCAGACAATGCGACGGCCGTCTCCCGACAGGGCCTTTCTTGTTATCCACATCAAGAAGCGACTTGATGACTTTTATGTGTGAAGGAGGAATTGATAGTTACAGTACAGGGTAGGTATCCGCCGCGGCTTCCACCGACTCAACCTTAGAGCGTGATCAAATGATCATATAATAGAATATAGAGACACATGGATCCAGTCGGTAAGCCACGTTGAATTTGATGGAGCTGGTCAATGCGAGTGGGATAAGCAAGAGAGAGTGTTAGCCTGCTGGAGAACAATGGTCCGCTTCCAACACGTAGAAGGGAGCGCCTCAGCCAAGCCACGGTTCGTCCAGATGAACATAACAGTGATGGGTGGAGAATGGTGGCAGGTCCGCTAACCGAGATAAGGCCGGCCCCTCAGCAACAATACTTCACGACGTCAACTGTGCTCAAGTCCGGACTTAAAAATCGCCAGCCCCAGGCAGGAACAATGCTAAGGCAACGAGGGCTCGAGCGCTGACCCGCATCTTGATTCTCATTGACTCGCACCGGGAGGGCGAGCCACGTTATGAAATCTCAAGCGCATCACAAGCGATCACGTCCAAAGGCCATCTTCATCCGCAAATATCCCAGCAAGAAGACGAACAACAGCAACAGCAACAGCAACAGCAAATGCACGATGGCCGCCACGGCTTCTCAAACAAGCGCCGCGCAGAACGCTGCTTACGACATCCCGGAGCTGTACAGGATGCGTCCTGCCGTGGTTGACGCGCTCGAGACTGACTCGTCCGCCATGCAGCAGGACACGATTGAGGAATGCCTCCCCTTCCTGCTGGGCGAGGAGGATCTAGGTCCTCGCAATGTCCACGGTATCCCTCTCTTGGACAAGCAGCGCCACCTCAATTTCCTTCGGAAGCAGCTAGGTCCTCTTCCGGGCGCGTTCATGGCAGCTGACCCGAGCCGACCTTGGTTCTTCTACTGGTGTCTGGCTGCCATGTCACTTCTCGGTGAAGATGTGGCATTCTATCGCGAGAAGCTTGTGGAGACGGTGCGCCCTATGCAGAACGCGACGGGTGGCTTTGCGGGTGGACAGGGCCAGATGTCGCATCTTGCCACCACGTATGCAACGATCCTGTCGTTGGCGCTGGTCGGCGGGGAGGCGGCCTACGATGTGGTGGACAGAAAGAGCATGTGGCACTGGCTCGGCTCGTTGAAGCAGCCGGACGGAGGCTTCCAAATGGCCATTGGAGGCGAAGAGGATGTGAGGTAGGTCGACTCCAAGAATACTTGTTCCGAGTCGGAACATGCACCCACCCCTGGATGCTGACCGGCCGTGTACGTATAGAGGGGCGTATTGTGCGTCTGTCATCGTCTCGCTGCTGAATATTCCGCTCGATCTACCAGCCGAATCGCCTGCTCGTGCGGCAGGTCATTCAGGGTTCTTCGATGGTCTCGGAGACTGGATCGGCCAGTGTGGGTCGCCATCATTCTTTCCGCAGCCCTTCGCTAGTGGCTGATATTTCCGTGCAGGTCAAACGTACGAAGGCGGTATATCGGCCAAGCCCTCAGTCGAAGCGCACGGGGCGTACGCTTTCTGTGCGCTTGGTTGCTTGAGCATCATCGATTCCCCGCATAGGGGCATCCCACGGTATGTACTTGGAGCCCACAGCAGGGGACTAAGGTATTGACGTGACATGAAAACAGCCATCTCGACCTTCCGCGACTCATTTCGTGGCTGTCATCACGCCAGTATGCCCCCGAAGGAGGCTTCTCTGGTCGCACAAATAAATTGGTAGACGGGTGCTACAGCCACTGGGTCGGTGGATGCTGGCCCCTGATCGAGGCCAGCATCAGCGGCCCGCAAGAGGGGTTCGCGGCCGAAGCTGCGACCCCGGCGACGGAGGCACGTAGCTTGTTCAGTCGAAACGGGCTCATCCGGTACATTTTGTGCTGCTGCCAGGACCTGTCGAAGCGGGGAGGCATGAGAGACAAGCCCAGCAAGTACGTACACACCTAGGACTGCTGCCGTCATCGCGCTATGCACTTTGTGTAATTTTCCGGTTGGATGCTGATCGTGCCCAAACAGAAACTCGGATGCGTATCATTCATGCTACGTTCTCTCTGGGCTGAGCCTGGCTCAGCACAAGTGGACGATGAAGTCTGCTCGCCTGGACGCAACTGTCTTGGGGTCCGACGAGTGGGTTGTGACGCCCTATCTGGAGGGACAGCAGATTTTTAGCGAGGACGACCGGCTAGCCACAACTCATCCAGTGTACGTGATCCCCCAGCATAAGGCAGACGATATCAGGGACTACTTTGTGAACAAGGCCGGGTTCTAAAGAATTCTTGTGCACGCTGTCCACGAGGCGTTCTCTATCGTTTCACTGGGCTGACCCATGTTGTGCAACGTTGAGGACGCGTGCGATGCCCGAGAAAGGTGGGCAGACATTGCTTTTCCAGCCCTGCAGGTGAATACATGCACCGCGCATTGAGAGACAAGGCCCGAGTGGATGAAGCTACGCTGTCGCGTGCTACCATAGAAGATCAGACATGCGTCCGGGATTGATGGAGCAAGGCAAGTGGATATGGTAGCACGGCATCTGCTAAGAAGCTGCGGGCAAGAACAGTCTCTCTGTTGTCAATGTTTCGCTGATCGGTCTGGCCGACAGCTACCTAAGACGGCGACCGCTGTTCTGGTGCAGGAGGTCATTCATAACGTGCCGCATCAACGTCGGCGCGGAAGCGCGGCCAGACGCAGATCAAACAGAGGAACAACAAGCACGGTCAGAGCATGCAGTCGCCATATCGCCGTGGTTCGCACGGAAGGCAGCACACCAGGACGCTTGGCAGCAGTGTGCATACCACGTCGTCAATATACATGCATGACTGTACGTCTCGGAGGACTAGCAGGGCAACGCATTGTCACCCGCAGCTCAGTACCAGTAGTATAAACCAGTCCATCTGCGCGGCGCGTCGATTCCGAGACTCGCCACTCGCTCCGCAGGGAAGGTCCTTGCCGTACGTACGTACGTACATGAGTCTGAGTGCATGGGGCGGTTAGACGAGCTGCACATCATACTCGTTGGCGCCACATGAGTGTGGATCAATGCCTCTTTCCACTCAACTTTGCGGTGAAGTCTGCATGCATAGCTAGACTAGCTAGTATTAGGCGATGAACTCGCGATGCAGGTGTCTCAGCAGTGTCTGTTCCCAGTCTCACATCTCCGCGCGCAAAATGCTTTTGGCGCTTGCAACTTGGACTTGATCCGCCGCGCAAGGGTCTCACCAAGGGGTAAGGGCCGTATCGCGCGCGGATGACGGGCGTTTGTGTGTGGATGCGCCATTCTGTCGATCCATGAATTGGGCATGGGCCACGGCGCGCGCTTGTGAGTTGCAACTTGCAAGGCGAATCGCCCGCTGCTAAGTTCAATTTCGCCGCCGCCGATTGTTTACTTGCTAATGTCAAAACGTGACATGGAGAACCCCCAGGCCCTGCTCGCGAGCCCGGCACTGACTGGAGGCCAAGCCCATCTGTTTGGACAGACACCTGGCCGCATCTCACGCGGCCGCCTGCGAATGAACTGGCAGCGCATGGCGTAGTTCACTTGTGCGTGTTAATTTGAAGAGATTGGGGCGTGCGCATGTATGTCTATCTGATGTGAGATATCAGGAGATCTGGACATGCCATTGCCAGCGAGACTTCTCTCTTTCCGGGAACAGGACAATTTAGAATCGTTGCATCAATTTGCATGACCCCCGCATTTTCCCGAGGCTGGACACTGTTCTAATTAGCTTTTGCACTTGTTGTTGATACGATGCGCAGCCGTAGAATCGCCGTGTCACAATCACAAAGACCAGGCGCGTCACACACAGGTGAGCACAGGCAGCTAGGTCAATATAGCCTTGCCGGCGGTAAAGGAACATGCCTTGAGGTATGTAGCCAGGTGAGGGCGCCGCGGAGATTCGAGTCAGGAACTATTAGACAACGTGAATCCCGCCCAGGTGAGCAAGCTAGATCCAGCCACCCATAGCACCGGGCATCTGGCAACCACTCCGGCCACGTCTGCCGGCAGGGTGGTGGTTGGGTTGGATGAGGTACGTACTTGTAGATGAGGGATGCCCACCCTGATGTAAGATCAGCAGCAGACGTGTCGACTTGGTCACTGCTGGGTGCGCCGGTTCCCATGTGGTCTCTGCAAATTCGTCTCACACACCTACGTCACCATGAAACTTCCGTCCTCCAGATTGTGTCTGGCTTCGAGAAGGTCTGGTCGTTTTCCGGACAGTCAATTTGCTGCCCCACTTTTGGTTTGAGATAATCAATGTGCATTGGCAGCTTCTGTGCGAACGGACCTGCCTCCCAGATTTCAGAGGCCAGCCCTCGGCAGTGCCAATGCTGGTTTTGGGGCAATTGCCTGTTTACTTCAGCAAGGAGTCGAATGGGACCGACCACCTTCCATGCTTGCTTCATCACGAGTTTCTTCCCTTCAAGTCTCCCCAAACAATGGCACGTCCAGGTCCTCGTAGTGCTATCACTTGATTAGCATGCCAACCCGCCTCATCGTGGCCGTTGCCCAGACTCAATTCCGCCTATGCTTTATTAATAAACCCGGGCCCCTGTCCCTACCCTCACCCTAGGCCTTTGCCAACACATCAATGCATGAAAAAGGTCAAAGATGCAGCAATGGCCCTCCCCCCTCACGACCGCGTCCAATCAAGCCTGGCCCATTCACCGTAAGGTACCTCATTTTTTCCCTCTACGGAGTACGCTGCTCTGATCTCCCATCCACCCACGCGCATCGACAGTCCAGACAGGGTTCTGGCGTGTCCAGTTCATGCACGAATCGAGAGGGACAAGGGTCTCCGCGTCGCTGCTGTGTCCTCACCGACCATTCTCAATCTCGACTGAGGATTGGACAATGGATTCTAGTCAACGACGAGACGCTTCGGTGATTAGCTTGCTAAATGCTCTTGCTCTTGAACTGCACTGGAGGCTTGAGGCTGGAGCCACGAGAGGAGAGAGCCTGTCTACCTCGAGTCCTTGACTCCGTTTGTCTTCTCACGCACGACATCAACGACTCGGTTGACTGCTTAATGGTAGGGTCCAACCTAGCGCCGAGCCTGAAGCCTCAGCACCTGTGACATCCGGATGTCTGCCATTGGACAGTCGTCAGCACCAGAGCCTTGCGCGCGCGTGCCACTTTCTGCGAACTGACTGTGATTTTCTCGTCCCCTTGGCCGAGCGAGCGGCTGCGAGTCTCATCCTCGAATTAAGATTGGACCCCGGTTCGGCTGGTCGCATGAGGGCCGGACTGACAGGTACTTGTACTGCTTTGCCGACTGTCCGTGCTTCTGCTGGTGATCTACAAAGCACTCACTATCACGCTTGGCTACTCGCAGCAGCACGAGGTACGTACCTGTCGCTCATCTGCCCTCGACGGCTCCTCCTGGGTGGATCTGGGCTGTCTTGTCTGTACGTGCATGCGCGCATGTCCTGGGGCTTGGGTCTGCAGCTCATCGTCGACCGTCTCCAACCTGCTGTTTTTGTGGCCAGACCAGACCCACTGCGATTAGCTCTGCCCACGATACAAACCACACCTCAAATTCCTGTTCACCACTTTGCTACGACACACCGTGGGCCTGTCCCGCAGACGAACAGTGGTACCTAGCAAAGGCCCATTCTCAGGGGTTCAGAAAGTTGCTTTTTTCTTCAACGGTCCACGGCTTCGTGCGTGACAGCAGTCTGTGTCACGTTGCCACCGACAAGATCCTCTCCAGTTGCCGAATCGGCTCCTGTGCAGCTAGCTGCTGACCTCATTCGCGGCCTCTCTGCTGGTTTCGGTACGTTCCTTTCTATTGTTCAAACATGATGACCCCGGCGAGGAGTTGCTGCAGTTCTGTTTGTGTTGCCAAATTGCCCCCGTGCGGTATCTCGAAGCCAAGAGCTCTGGACCCTTGTTGGCCTATCACGCCTGCTCGGCCGCATTGTATCATTGTCCCCGTCGCCGCCGGCCATCTCTCCTCACGTCCCAACGAAACGAGCATCTTGAACTATTCTGGCCTCTTCTCCCTCACCAGAGGCAAAACAGAGGACATTCAAAGACGCGCAGACGTTGTTGATCGGCCTCTCTGGCCGTCTTCGCCGTCTGCACGCGAATGCGTAAATGGCCCTCCTCGGGATATGGTGGAGGTGGTCTAGTGTCCGGCGGGCTTTGATCAACTGGTATCCAGGTAGGCCAACGCATCAAGATGGGTCACCCTCTTTCTGTATTGGCTTCAGAGCCGCAGTCGTGGGCTGGTCTCTTCAATGTTATTTCTCTCCTGCTACACGCATGCGGCCAATTCGCGCCTGGCCGGCCTCATCTTACCCAGCCTACCTGGTGCGGCGGTACTTGCATTCTCTACCTACATGCCCTCTTTTTGCCATCTGTTTATTTCGGCGCTGCCGCCCTCACGCCCCTGCCTGGCCGGCGGTACGCTCCTCTTGACGCCGTTCCGCAATAACGACACACTCCCAGCCCAAACCGCATCTGCAAGATACACCGTACGAACCAGACCCTTTCCCCCTTCGCCTCTCGTAGCCGAGAGCATCCACCCCGTTCTTCGGTATGGCTTGAGACGCTCATCCACATTCTTCTCAAAAACCCTCGCCATTGCCCCCCAACGTCCCATCCTGCTCACCACCTTCTATGCTCTCTGCCCATTTTCCCTCTTCTCTCACATCAGCTCCCTCAACTAAGCCACAGCCATCCTTCATTATACCCTCTCGCTTTGCCTCTCGCCGTACATCAATATTGGGCTCGGACGCAGCTAACCGATCTCGAGCAACGCCACGTCGCCCTGCAACCCTCTGCCAGCTCGTCACCATCACCGTGATACCCAGGCTGTCAAGGCTCGGTCTCTTGTTCCTGCCGGCCACCCACAAAAACGCCATCTGCGACTCTGCCTGACACCGGCAACATGAGCGGCTTCTATATGCAGTACCTTGAGAGTAAGTTCACCTTCTGATGGTAACACGAGCACACCCTGCTGTGCACCGGGCGTTCAACGCAAGCCTCTCCTCTGGCTTGTATGTGTGGGGAAGAAATGCGGACATGTCATATCGGCCTCACCCCTGCTATGCTAGTATCCACAGCTCCAATTGCTACCCAAGGAGCATGATCTGGCCGATCTACTCTCGTTCTTCAGGGGTCTTCACCCTGGTTGGCGTAGTCTGATCGGGCATTGTGTACCTTGGGGGTGTCCTGCGGTTGGTGGAACGCTTAAACCCCTGGTGGAACGTCCATGCAGTGGTGCCCTGTGTGCAATTGCTCTACAACGCGAGATCAAAGAAAAATGC